TGACCATTTGCGTAATAGACTAAATTTTGATCTCAACAAAAATTTCAATACAGCTTGAAAGAACATCACAAAATTAGTAATATTCCAAAGTTTCGTTGCAAAATGTTGTAAAATGCGGAAAATATAGCCTTGCGAAATTTGCAATTTTCAGTCATTTAGATTACAAACCGGAAATTGACAGCCTCGAAGGGTTTGGGGCTGTCAATTTCCCGTTTGTAATCTAAAATGACTGAAAATTGCAAATTTCGCAAGGCTATATTTTCCGCATTTTACAACATTTTGCAACGAAACTTTGGAATATTACTAATTTTGTGATGCTCCTTCAAGCTGTGATGAAATTTTTGTCTAGACTTGTTTAGTTCAAAATTTAGTCTATTACGCAAATGGTCAAATTGAAAAAACTAACCAGGTGAATCAAATAAGCATTATTCAAGATCAGCAAACGTAATGTTTCAAACATTTCTATTGCTAAAAACATTGAGTTTCCTGATCTTGAATTATGCATAATTGATTTTCCTAGTTTTTCAATTAAAAGGGCTGAAATGCACCTTAAAAACCATCATTCTTACAATTAGCCACTCCGAAGTTGATGAGTGGACTGGGGACGAGTGTTAAAAAGTGCCCAAATTAAGAAATGAACCAAATAACTAAAAAGACCACCTCAAAATTAGTACGTATACAAAGTTTGAAGACGTTTACATGAATACCCTTCAAATAATAAGCTTTCGAAAATAGCGATATTTAATATGAAATGTATTGTAATTTTTGTTTTTGGGACGCGCGTCCCAAAAACTATCTTTTAATCAGTAATTTCATAATTTTCGAAAGTTTATTATTCGACGGGTATTCATGTAAACGTCTTCAAACTTTGTATACTAACTAATTTTGAGGTGTTCTTTTTAGTGATTTGGTTCATTTCTTAATTTGGGCACTTTTTAACACTCGTCCCCAGTCCACTCATCAACTTCGAAATGGCTAATATGGGCAAATATCAGGATTTTGAACATCTTCACTCGGCAGTTTCGAGTGTAAATTTTATACATTTATTTAGACCTAGCATGCAGGAGCAGCTGTGAAAAATGTAACTATACAGGCCCTCTGACAGGAACTCCGGGGGTCTATAGTTGCATTTTTTGCAGCCGTCCCTGGTTAGGTCTAAATAAATGTATAAAATTCACACTCGAAATTTACATCTACAAAACACTTCAATAATCTTACAATATTTATAAACCCAGAAATCAGTAATATTTTAATCTAATAAGTTCATGGCAGTGTATACCGATGATCTGGGCGCATGAATTGAACGTTTTTTTTAAATAAATAGATATAGTTTTTTTCACAAAGCGAATTGGTTAGATTTTAAGCGGTCATGTCCAATTTTGGAAATAAAAGTTGTTACCTTTCTTCCTTCGCTTGTTCGCGTTTCTTTTTGTCATCATTCATTAATCGCCAGTTTTGCAACATGTCGTCGTAAAGTTTGTTTGCTCTACCAACAAAGAAATTAGTTGAGGTTTCTACTCGACAATCTCAAGAAGTAGGTATACAATACAATGAAATAGAGGAACTTGGCTGGTAAACAATTGTTTCTCTTAAAATCTGATGATTGTCTATACTAGAAAAGCACATTTTTCCATGCATGGGCATGTTTTTAATAAATTATTTGTATCTCATTCTCGCGGAGTAGTATCTTGTTCTTGATTGTAAACAAAATGTAAACATCTGTCTCAAACAGTCCAAGAAAGTCAAGCTTCTGTGAGTTATGTACGAATCCTTGCTGTTGCTTCCACGTTAGATATTGAAGACAAAGTTGACTTACTTTTCTTTTCTTTGTGTGGATTCACGTCTTGCTTTTCCCAAGTTGAACATGGGAGTGAGTGTTACACTGCTGTTCATAATCAAGTCACTGATCGTTGTTCCACTCTTCGGTATGTCTTCCCTAAAATTCACCAAAGTTTATTCACATCATTTTGATTGGCTGGAAGGACAGCTTTGACTCCAGTTATAGCATGGATTGTTAAATGCATTTTTATGATCCATGGTTATACATAGATCAGTCACTATGTACGATGATGTTATACGAACATAATGATGATGTCATACGATGACGTGATGTTATACCATGTCATGATGATGTCATACGATTACGTCATGATGTTATACGATGTCATGATATCCTACGATGACATGTGTTATACCATCATGATGACGTCATAATGTGATGTCATAATAGTCATCGTCATGATAATTCTAGACGACGTCATGATAATTTGATGTCATAGCAATGACGTCATGATGATATGACGATATCGTGATGACATCATAATATTAAACCGTCATTACGACGTCACACAATCTTACATTCTTACCCGCTTTCCTTCTGTTTCTTGTCAGAGTAGTAATTATAGTAGGCGATCAACAGCACAACTAACATGAAAATCAACACCACTGGAATAGCTATTGCTAACAGTATTGTAAGTTTACTCGGCCCAGGATCCTCTGTAGGCTGTGCGGTCCTTTTGACGTCAGTGAGTCGGGCAGTTGGTACCTGTTTCCTCACGCGGACATTGTTTGCGTCATTGTCATGGTTACTGGGTTGCTGAGCGTTTTCTTCCACATAGTGGGTTAACATATCTTTATCTGATTTTTGTTGAGGAGCAAACTTTGTTGATTTTTCACCTGACATTGTACTATACCTCATCACAAAACTTGTTTTTCTTGTTTGACTGCCGGCTTTCAGTCTTAGGTGTATACGAACTTTGTCACTCCCGGATACTAGGCCCCGGAATGGTTTCCTTTCATTGCAATATTTTGTTATAATCGGTCGTGTTCTGCCAATATGTTCTTTGACCGCGACGTAGTTGCACTCACATATTCCTGGGCAAGAGTCCTCGATGTTCAATCTGGAGAACTCAAGTTGTGCGAGTGTCCCGCGTGGCACGTGGATTATCCACGAGCACGAAACGTCCCTCGCGTGTAGTGTGTGATTGACAACAATTATCCCATCTCTATCGCTGAGATGTTTCTTGCGACCGCACATTGGTTGAATGGAACGTTCAAACCTGTTCAGGATTTTATTTCTTTCACCTTGACAAAATAAAAAGTTTTGAGTTTTAGGAAATAGGCAGTCACAAGCTTTGCAGTTACCAACATGATGTACATGTTATTGAGAGAAGCCTAATTTGATAAGCATTTTACATTTCAACAATCATTCTTGGAAAGCGACGATTCTTGAAAGTGAACTGTCAAAGCAGTAAAAGGTCAAGTAGACTAGACCGCTAGTTTTGCAGTTTAGATTCTATTCTATTCTCTATTGAAAATAGCCTCAGTTCCTCATTTTCTGTGTTTAAGAAAACTCGCGTATCATGCAGTGATTTTAATAAAATTTTGAACAGAAAGTTAAAAAAATCTTGACAGATGTTTTACACGAAATATCAAATATACGCGGCATCTGTGCCGGCTGATGGAATCAGAAAATTATTTCACAATACGTGCATAGATTGTGTTGGAAAATTTGCAATGACATTTTACAGCTGTGCTATAAATGCATGTTCAATGTTTGGTCGTGCAAAATAAAATCGTGCAAACTAAACCGTCGCCGATGTAAAGCATCCAAGTTAGGTTCATCTGCTTACGTATAACAATTGGCATAAGTTTTTGCATACGTTTTTCGGGAATTATGCGTTTTTTTAATCCGTTATCTTGATAATATAATAGGCTTTTTCGTTTATTTTCATGAAAGAGTACAACAGTATATACAATATGGTTATATGTTTTGAATTCTAATATTAGTAATCAGGTTTTCTCCCAATGAACTTGGCCACGTTCAGTATAAGTTGAAAGTTCCAACCATAATTAAATTACTGAATAAATTGAGCTTCCATGCATGAGTCGAGCCAATAGCTGAAGATCTTATATTGGGTTTAAATAAAATCATTTATACATATTAAGTGCAATTTAACGTACAACCTCGTAAAAAAACATATTCGTATAGTTTGAATTTAATGATCTTTTGGAAAAGAGAGTCATCTTAGGGTTACACTATCAAAGTTTCTGCGATCACAGTAGGAATTTTGCATAGGTAAATTGTGAATTTTGAAGGATTTGTAAGAAATATTTGAGGAAACTGATTCACTGTTTAACACTGAGTCAGTTCCCGGCTCAAACATTTCTTCTAAATCCCTCAAAACGTAGAATTTGCAAAATTCCTACTCTGACTGATCACAGGCATAAAAGTGTTGTATATAAGTACCTAGCCTGCAAGCAGGCTGGCATATTGAAGTTAGACGTATATCTAGTGCAGTAAGTAAACTTTTTGCACATGTGCTAAACTGTTAGTGTATTCCCGATAAAACGCAGTAGATATGACAAAATGAAAACTATATCCTTACCATCCCGAAACACTACAGGGTGACCAGAACCGACATCCAGTAATATCTGTGACACTAAAAGCATCAACGTCGTGCGGCTGAACACATCAATCATTCTCGTGTTTATGTGATTCCCACTTTGGATCTCACTTTGAAATATATTCCCTCTTTACACCCAAATAGATCGTTCTACGTTAACATATAAACTCGAACACTCCAACAGAAAGCAGCGCTGACTTTAAGCTTAATGCGACAGATATATCTGTGTACAAATACGCTTTAATTTCCACCATTTATAACGAGTGTTGAATGTTTATCCAAAATGTAGCAAATCACTGCAGTGATGTTGCAATTATTCGTCATTCTAAATCAATTTCTGCCAACAGTTTCCCGAACAGACATCGCTTTAGTAGACAATTATGTGAACGCGGTGTGGAGATTTTATTAAGGACGACGGTGCTTAGTTAATAATACGTGCAGATATATTGCGCCGTACTGTGTTATTACCTCGCGTTATTCTGTTATCTGTTAACGAATTAAACATTCTGTCTTTGTTTGACACAGCGTGATATCTAACCCTGCAGTTATCGCATATCTAAGACAGGCTCTAAATGAACTTTCCATTTGTGGTAGTATATTGAAACACTATTCTGTTTCGCAGTGCATTGACAAGATTAGACTTATCAGTGCTATTTATTTTCTTGCAGTAACGTATTGCCTATGAAAGATTGTGAAATGGGTCACAAATTGATACGCCGTAATATAACGCGGATTTTTTATTGCTTATTTAACTCGAAAGAACAACAAGGGACTAGTATCACGCGACAAACGATGTCCCGTAGATATGTACACGACATCATCATTCAAGTAAGGCCCCGGTTTTGATAGCGGATCTTTTCATGCGTCGAAATCCGAACCTGATCAAATTAAATACGGCACAAGATCGGCAACAGAACGTCCGACCTAATTGTACCGTGCCAAAGAACAAGTACATTATGTCAGAAATTTCAATGCTAACTTGCTAATATGTATATATCATAATCATATGATAATGTACGTTAAAAAAATGTGCGTAAATCTAGGTTCGGAGCATGAAAAGCACGGCGTCCGGCCAAACACAACGATATGACTTGCCGTATTTTGTGCCGTGTCGAACTCTAATCAAAACTTGGCGAACTTAATTGATTTAGACGCCGCCCTTCTTCCGTACTTAATCATTGTATTAGGTTCGGGGCATGAAAATTCGCCGTCTAAACCCGGTCCTTAAGGTCCTATATACGACTGCACAAACTCGTCTTGCAATTTTGTTGCGAGAAGTTGCACATAGATCTTCATGTTTCGCGACAAAAGGGATAAGGTTATGATTGGGATCAAGATCAAACAGAAATATATTTCTGCGCGAAACATAACGATATGTAATCAACTTTCCAATCTGGCAGTAATTTGCTGCTGCATATATATAGACCTGCGTTAGATTACTTTATCTTCTTGTGCTGTTTCCGCTTTTGTATTTTGTCATTTATGTATTCTTTACTTGCCTATGCGAAGTTATCAAAATTAGAAAAGATATAGAATCATTATCTGTGTGAAAATGTTTTACTTGACTAAATAGGGCATGACAACCTCGTAAACCAGGGTATTTTCTCTCACAAAAAGAAATTCTTAATTTGGGATGCTATTCTCTTTATCACATATTCACATTTCTTGACTTGCATCTTGACACCTTGATCACAGGTAATTGAAATTCCTTTTCATGTAATTGAAACATCAAACTCAGCTATTCATGTTAACATGTTCATATCCAAAATTTACGCATCATTTTTATATTTGATGTCAACAAATAAACTGTACAGAACACTCAGTTCTTCATTTTCCTGCATTCCTGAATCCTTCCTAGCCATTTTTCAAACTCACTCGTGCAAAACAGTCGGCCATTTAAAAGCAAATAGCGTTCTAAAATAACTTAAGAAAGAATTTTGTATCAATTAGTGACAAAAGTATTCACATGTTATCATTTTAGAGAATTATATAAATTACATCTTTCGTGATATAATTTCTGATTTCGTTGAGGCCTTCGAAGCTTGATAGTTTGAAAAGTGAAAAGGTTCTTCGCGATTATTGTGGGATAAAATGAAGTGTTCACTTTCTTTTATGTTTTTGAGTTTTTTGTTTGTCTACTTGGTTTTCGTTGGTTTCTCTGGGGCACAAAGCGGTTTGGCTGAACTATTGGAAGCGGTAGAAGATAGGTGAGGTTTTGCAAATTTTGTTTTCATAATTTCATGGTGCTTGTTTTTACTCATGCATCATATGCATGGACCAAGTTCTTAGAAGATTGATAGACGTACTCTTTGAGTCGATCTGAACGAGATCTGAAGGAATTCGAGGATATATTAATTCTATTTATCCAGATTTATTTGTGCATGGGGAAGAAACACTGGTACTATGCAGTGTTATCAGAATTTTGGGTTTAACCTTGATATTTATACACATGCACCGTAAACTGGCATCACTTCAATGTAATTACATGAACTTGCCGATTAATCACGTCATGGTTAAATCTCGTTAACTGTGTCTGTGTAGCTCAGTTTAGACAGCGCTGCACCAGTTCGCAGCCGATAACGATCAGCTGTTCCTGTTTAGATCAAAATATAAAAAATTTACGCTCGAAATTAGTTCTATCTACATAACCCTCTTCTATGCTTTTGGATACTGTGTCATTCAGTAGTATGAACACTGACCTACCCACATTAGTAATGTAAGCACTGTTTTAAAGTGTTACCAATGTATTATTTAATAAAACATATGCTATTCAGAAAACGGTTATGGTGACATTTGTATCAACCTCAAATCTAAACTCTGTGGTTTTCTCTAAGCCTGGTTCACACTCGCAATTTTGTCGGCGATTTTGTGTTTCTGACGGATGCAAATGAGTGAACTCTCACAAAAATACACAGTCGCTTTTCAGAAGTACACAATTCTAAGTCTTTTGCATGTCACTCATTCGATCACATTTGCAGGAGGAGAAATGTGTGAACCAGGCTTTAGCGTTTTTAAACACGACACGTCCTTGCGATAGTATTAAATATCTAATTATCTAATTTAATATTTTTTCATGTTAGTAATGATGACGCGGCTGCATTTGAGATGACGTCAGATGAAGATGACGTCAAAATCTTGCTTGATGTTGCCGCTGAAATATGTAACCGTACAAGGATTCATGGAGGTTCGTTGATTTCGGGCCTTGTACCGGATAGCTTTTTGTGGCGACGTGAAAAACACCTATCTGTACCTTTTAGGAACGCTATTTTCCGAGGAATTATTGCAACAGAGAGATGATGTATCGCTTAGCTTCTTTGTTGTACATTCCGTATCGGATAGGTGCTTTTTCGCGCCACTACGGGAAGCTATCCGATATAGTGTCGCCCTACCATAGATATCTTATATTATATACACTAGATAGTTCATCTCTTTTAGTAAAATTGAAGCCAATAATATTCCAGCGGTTACCCCCATTTGAATAGATGGCGGCCATGTTGGTAGTTCCCACTCGCTAATAAACGCTTAGAAAAAAACAGTAACTTTCATGCTCATTTGAATAGTTTAAAAATGTATTTGGAATAGGTTTAACTTACTGTTCAAGTTCCCTGTTTAAGAAATAGAAAACATACGAATCTTCTCATTTCATGGGAATATCCTGAGTCTGCAATCACGGCTTCAATTTTTGAATTGCAGAATAATTAGATGCACTATCTAGTGTATATCAGTAATACGCCCTACAGAGTCTGTAAATCCATCTATTATGTTTAATAATTTTCTGAATGCTATACTAGTCTTTATAAAATTTTAAAGCTTGTTCTTTTCTCTTTCGACTAAGGTCTAAGGGGTCATTTGTGTCCAAAATGCAAGTGATAACGGCACAAGGGAAAATTTAGTATAACGCAATCATTGTATTAGCTGCCATTTAATATTAAATGCAATTCTGTTTTAAACTTGACAGATCAGGATCTGAACAAAGGACTGTGTGATTGTTTTCGCCGCTATCAATTTGGTAACTGAAGATTTTTGGTAAGCGGGGTTGATGCCATTTTGAGATGCCTAATCGTCCAAACTGACCGAAATTATAATTATGAAGCAATTTTTTTGCAGCGTTTTTGTCGCACAAATTCTTCAATTTGGTGCCAGAAAGTGCAGGAACTGATGGCATTTCCGAGCTTCGATTTTTCAACTGGGGAAGCATGCATGCCCCTGCCCCCCCCCCCCTACTTTTCAACCCACTTCTTTAAATATCTTCTTACACTGCTGCTGTGCCTGGGACAGTTGGATCATTTTTGGCCTGTCGTGTTTGCATTTGGCTGAAAACTACGATATCCAGTGAATATTGTGAAACTGAATTGAGATCGAAAAAGTTCTGAAAAACGTATTCTTAACGCTCTTTTATCCAAGGAAGGTTAGGGGAAAAAACATTTTGGACCTATTATTTTCAAGAAAACGTGTACCTCCGCGTTTCGACACCAAAACGAAGAGGGCCCAAACTTTTGAGTTCACCTCCCCAAAGACATATCGGTGTCGGCATAGTCCTACACTCACAGTGTAGCCTACATGAAGTATATTAATTTGTTATTGTACATTTGATTTACAGGCATTAGGCTTTAGTCCTTATCGTGGATTAAGAAGAAAAAAAGAAGACTGGAATATAATAGAACTGAGTCTGAGATGGCCGATGTATAATTGATATATTCATGAAATAAAAAAATTGACCATGACTCACATTCACACTGTTAATGTACACATTCCTATTTGTTCAACATGTTTGCTCAAATTTAAAGGGAATAATTCCATGAATAATTCTATTTCAGAGCCATCCTTAGTCGATGACGATATATTAAAAAACATTTTCAAGAATTCGTTCTCTCGACTCGAGCGGAATTCGATTACTTGCTTCATTGTATTCTGTCAGAATGTGAAACTAAGTTTTCCATCATTCCATGGCCATGGGCATGAATCATATGTCTGGTGGTTTTTCCAAAATGGGCAAACAGTACTACAAATCTATCAAATGTCAATGAGTATTTATTAGAATGTTTACATTTGCATCTAAGAGATAATTGTTTGTCGATTTTGGTCATTTTAATGATCAATCATGCGCAATCTGACCAATTCCTTGATTTTTAAAGGACTTTCTTCTTAATTTTTGACCCTGCAATGTTCAATATATGAAATCAATTGATTTCCCAGTGCTATCGCGATCTAAACTATCCCAGCATGATCTAACTAAATTTCGACTAGGTTTTATTAATTTTCTTCGTGTACTCAGTTGCACACATACAATCTATCTCTCAAAATCCTACTATTCAAAGTAATTATTTTGGGGGGTTTTTAACCACTGGTAATTTATCTTTATGTATAGATTAATCAATGACTCATCAGACACCATTTAGTAAGTTATTAATTTCATGAATGAAGCTCATAGATCATGTTTGTCGTACAAACAGTACAAATGAGTTTCATCAAAATATGTACATTCGCATCAATGCCGATGCTTATAGTAATACAACTATAGATAATTACACAGACTGTCGATTGGTATTTTAATTTCGTCACTCAAGCATTATAATTATTTTACTTTTTTATTTTGCAATGTTTAATGCATTTAAGTGTCAAGTGCACCATGTCCATGAGGTAATTGTTTCTCTCAAAACCTGACTAATTTTTTTGTCGTTGCTTCCAAATTTATTTTCCAGTTTATTTTCATTATCTATACCATCTTAATTAAGGCGTTTGAGGAGCATGTTAAAAAGATTTACGCCTGTAGTCTAATAGACTTGGTTCAAGTCCGTCTCTGAAGAGGTTGAAAAAATGAAAATAGCGATGCACAGCAAACGGTCAAAAAAGGCGCGGAAAAAGTAGTCTAAAAGCACACTGACACTCAATGAGTGGATGTTAAATCTGAGCTTCTCTCGACTGTCAATGCTGTTTTTGAATAGTTGGAGATATTAGTGTCGTACACCTTACTATGTGATTACTCACCCTCCAGCTATTCAAAAACAGCATTGACACTCAAGTCTCAAGAAAAGATCAAATTGAACTTCCACTCATTGAGTGTAAGCTAGTGAGCTTTTAGAAATACGGGCGTTAGTTAAAAATTGTAAATTGATGAATACACGCCTCAATAATTCTTTAAACTTGACGCCATATTCCCAACAATATAAACAATCTTAATGAATTACTTCAAACATATTTTTTTCTTTTTTCTTTTTCTACTTAAATAGACTAAAATCTCTTTATTTTAGCAACATTTTATACATTCAGACACACTTTGCGGACTGAGAAACGTATGCCTACTGAGTTCTGTATCAAAAAAATTGATATGACCTCAATTTTGGAAATTTTCCCGGGATAGCATGCCCCCAGACCCCCTAGTTTTCTCCGCTCCTATTATGCTACTCTGTTACAGTTCAATCATGTCAGTTTTGCGTATCGTGTTTGCACTTGGCTAAAAATCTTAACTTATATGATTCCCAACTTAGCTGGAACTGATTAACCTTCCCAAAGTTTTCCCAAAATAAAACGTTTTCCGCTGCTAAGAGCCTGGGTACGAGGTTGCTCTGTAATTTTCCTTCGTGTACTCAGTAGTACATATAAATTACGCCTCCGAAAATCCTACCATTAAAAGTAATTATTTTTGGTGTGTTTCACCTGTAGCAATTTATCTTTATGTACATTAATCAATGACTGATCAAGCATCACTTAACAAGTAATTAATTTCGAGAGAATATAAAACAAGGCTCAATTGCTCCACTATTCCACATTTGGATAATCCAAGCAGCTACTTCTCAGTGAAAATATCCAAGTCTTTCGACAGCTCTTCGAGTAAACTTTGATCTTTCGGTGATTTGAAGTCATGAAGTTTTCACAAGTATTTGTGGTTCTTTCTGTCTTGTTTGCCATTTCTTTTGGTATTCCTGCCAACTGGAAAGAAAATGAAGACGTTATGGCCAGGTAAACTGAGTTGCAAATAATAGTTTTATATCATGCCTTTGCCTTTGGTTTTGGCGTCGCTTTATCTGTTACTTTTTAGCTTTAGTAATTGAGGCCCAGGCCAGGGCGAACCAGGAATCATTTCCGCAACAGAAATCACACTTTGCCTTTTGAGAAAAAGATATGTTTGTGAATAAGTTGGGACGAAGCACTGTTTCTTTCTACTATAGTCATGTTTCCCGAAGGTGGACAAGTCGGGGAACATTGTTTCCTATAGCCGTGATGTTGCTCAACTATAAAGGTCGGCATTCAAGCCATGTAACACCAAGTCGATACTTTACAAAAAGTAACTTATTTTGTCATCAAAAGGACAAAAACGTGGTATTTTCAGTGGTTCATCAAAACCAAGTATATAATCACGGCTTTTTGTGCACTGCTTACAATTCACTTTCTCTGTTTAACCAAGGATTAAATGACATCTGAAAATGGTGGGTTTCACTAAATGTTTGGCTGTGCAATTATTACTTCTGCCTAAGACTGAGAAAAAAAGTCTTTAAGAAAAGACTATATATAGTTTTATAAGGCCAATATAGTATTCCAAAAAATGTTCATCTATAGCATAAAAGATGTTTTTTATACACTCTGCGCATATAGGTTTTCCCGCGTCTTTACTTATATAATCTTACTTCTATTTTAGCTAAGATTGTCTAACTTTCCTTTCATGGTTTTCATCTAGCAATGACGGTGCAGTTCAAGAAAAGAGATTCGCTCTTACTGCTTGGCTAGCAAAGAAGGCGTTGGGTGCAGCAGTAAGTGCTGCATGCAACTTCGGAAACTGTAAGTCAGAGTTATGAATCTTATGATATATCTTATATCAAATGCTGTATCGATATTATAGTGGTATAAAAAAGCATCAGCTGCCGATCTGTATTTAAGTACTATCTTATCCTGGTATTGATTTATTGTAATTTTTAACTTAACCATTTTAACATGGAGAGATTTCTGCATGGACGTTACTTTCTTTAAAATTTTGATTTGCTTTACCTTTCTAGTGCCTGACCAAATGAAAGGCGTGTGCAAGTGCGCTTCCTTGGTTGTAGGCCGCGATGAAGGTAATGAACATTTACTATGTGTACTCAAAATTTCACGGTGTGAACAAAGGTTAGTTATGATATAAATAGCTATCAATTCAATGGTCAGTATAATGTGCGAAAAAAGAGCTATCTCCTAATTTTCACCTTGTGATCAAGTTAAGTGCATGTACATGCATGTGTACGTGGGAATTATGATGAATATCAATCCCTAGAAAATGTGCGAAAACAGTGAGAGCTATCACAAAATGAAATGTTAAAATATTTACACACTTATTCAAGAAATCTTGAGAGTTAATGAATTAGGATATATATAATTACAAAGTTATACATGAATAAACAGATATGATTAATAAAATATAAGAAAGATAGGGGGAGAATGGGTAAACAAAGAAATGAGAGTTGAAAAGAGTTTTTCCAGTCATCTACTCATCTCTCATGAAAGTCTCGTTTGAAGTTGTCAAACATTAACTCACTCTCAGGTCAATTGCAACGAATGATCCATAGTATTTTGTGGAAAAACTTTGCGCGCTTGCAGCCAAAAACCCCACTTTTGTTTCTTTAAGTGCACTCGCTTTGTCTTAACCCCCTCCCCCATTTTTTCCTGTAGAGTTCGAAGCCGAGAAACGCTGGTTCATTAGTGACCCAGTGGGAAAATTGAAAAGCACCGTCAAAGACGTCTGCGATAGTAAGTAGAGCTCTCATTTTGCTATTGCTGAGGCACCATATATAAAATCTCCTTTATTCTTGTTCGTATAAAGAACCAGTTTGCTTATTATGTTAAAATTTGTATTTTTTGAAGAATTTGGGGTGGTTTTAAGTGGACCATGTGGCTGTATCCTCCCTTTTATTTAAGAGAAGGTAAGAGAAACATGCTGATTTTGTATAACTGCACGCAAAGACTAGACCAAACTATAATCTTTTCCCAATGGCAATGCGAATCATCATGGGACCGTTTTTGCTGCGCTTATTTAGTGTAGGTTCATTTCATCGTGCTCATACGGGTCTCCAGGACCGTCGCTGGGAGGGGGAGGGGGTTTAGGGTGTGACACCCTCTGAAAACATCTCGTCGGCAAAATGAAGGATTTGTCGGCAAATTGTGTTCGTATATAGTGGCAAAGCATGAATTGGATAGGAAAGAAAAGGACTAAAATATTTGAGTGACACTGATTAAAAACAAATAATTATAGCTAAAATTGGGAGAAATTTACGAAATCAGTAACGAAAAATTTAACGATTAACGGTAAGTTAACCCAAAAGTGAATAAAACATATTATGTCCGGAAACTTTTTTGTTGAGCGCGCCTGCCCCCACCCGGGAAACGAAATGTTAATTAGCGGTTGAAATATTTTCGGCAAATGCGATACCGTGCTTTAGCCTCGCAACAGCCCTACTTGTATCTCGATTGAGGATGGAGGAGATACAATGGGTTGGCTAAGGATTTCGGTAATCCTTATGGTGGTTACTGATTGATTAGTTATGCATCTTAACCAGGTACCGATTCCATCCCTATTAGCGACAACGGGCAAATTTAGATAAGAATAATAACTGTAATAATCATTGTATAGCCCTATATTGTCATGTTGAACGATATCGTATTCAGCAATGTTAGTAAAAACAAACAAAAAACTGTTTTCTATAGGACATGGACATGGGTTGATGAAAACATACGAATTAAAAGCAAAAGATGAAATTATTAGTTGATTTAGAACATGTAATGTTAGAAAATGAATGAATAAAAGTATCATATACATGCAGAAGGTCTAATAATTTGTCTATATACTTCTAGACTCCGATGGCCAGAAATGAGCGATATAGTGATTACGCAACACTAAGTGATCACCCGGCCGTGCCTGATTCCCAATATAGTAAATTGTATCACTAATGTATAGCAATACAATACGATTCCTTCGCTGTGCGTTATAGACAATACAAATTCCTACATGCGAAGCTTGTTCCGGCAAGATGAGGTTCTTACGGTTTTGAATGATATAAAAACGAAGAAATATAATCTTCCCTTGTCCCTTGTCCCTGCCTTGTTTTAAAGGCAGTTACTGGGTAAGAGTATCCAAGACCGGTAAAGAACTTCGTCTTGGTTCCAATATAGCATGGCCATAACTCAATGAGATTTCGGTCAATTTCTTCTGCTAAATTATTGTTTTGAAGCTCGTTTCTTGCTTGTCTTTGCACCCGTTCCGTGCGTTGTAACCAATAATCTATTGGCGTTGTAATGCCATTGTATGCAATAAAATATTGGGTCAGTGTAACTGCATGAAGACAAAACCACAAACATTGGACAAAAGTTTTAGTTATAAATGTAATTGGCCAAAAATGCAGGTTTGTGGGTTGGGGTTGGGCAAACACTAAAAAAAAGGTTATCAACTTTGGAGTTAGGGGTTAAAGGTTAGGGTTGGGGTTAGGATTATGGTTAGGATTAGGGGTTAGGGGTTAGTGGTTGTAATTAGGGGTTAGGGTTAGTGTTAGGGGTTTAGGTGCCGCGAATTTATCATTATGATAAATTCAAAATGTGCCGCGAATTTATCATAATGATAAATTCGGACGTGTTTAAGAATTTACTCGTATAGTAAATTCAAAGGTGGAGCTCAATGCTGTTAATTTAAAACTGATGGCTATGCTTGATATAGCCAGCCTACAAAAACACCATGACGAAATACGTTTGATGTTACGTTGTACATATAAATAAATCCGAAAATCCTGCCATTGGCATTGAAAGTAATTATTTTTGGTGTGTTTAACTGACCTATATGCCTACTATACCAATTTATCTTTAGATCAAGCATCACTTACCAAGTTATTAATTTCGAGAGCCTATAAAACAAGGCTCAATTGCTCCACTATTCCACATTTGGATAATCCAAGCAGCTACTTCTCAGTGAAAATATCCAAGTCTTTCGACAGCTCTTCGAGTAAACTTTGATCTTTCGGTGATTTGAAGTCATGAAGTTTTCACAAGTATTCGTGGTTCTTTCTGTCTTGTTTGCCATTTCTTTTGGTATTCCTGCCAACTGGAAAGAAAATGAAGACCTTATGGCCAGGTAAACTGAGTCGCAAAAAATAGTTTTATATCATGCCTTTGCCTTTGGTTTTGGCGTCGCTTTATCTGTTACTTTTTAGCTTTAGTAATCGAGGCTCAGGGCGAACCAGGAATCATTTCCGCAACAGAAATCACACTTTGCCTTTTGAGAAAAAGATATGTTTGTAAATAAGTTGGGACGAAGCATTGTTTCTTTATACCATATAGTTTTCGAAGGTGGACAAGTCAGGGAACATTGTTTCTTATATAGCCGTCATGTTGCTCAACTAAAGTCGGCATGCATTCAAGCCATGCAGCACCAAGTCGATACTTTACAAAAAGTAACCGCTTATTTTGTCATCAAAAGGACAAAAACGTGGTATTTTCAGTGGTTCATCAAAACCAAGTATATAATCACGGCTTTTTGTGCACTGCTTACAATTCACTTTCTCTGTTTAACCGAGGATTCTACTTTAGCTATATAGATTGTCTAACTTTCCTTTCATTGTTTTCATCTAGCAATGACAATGCAGTTGAAGAAAAGAGACTCGTTCCTACTGATTTGCTAGCAAAGAAGGCGTTGAGGGCAGCAGTAAGTGCTGCATGCAAATCGGGAAAGTGTAAGTCAGAGTTATGATATATCTTATCAAATGCTGTAGGGATATTAGTGGTATAAAAAAGCATCAGCTGCCGATCTGTATTTAAGTACTATCTTATCCTGGTATTGACTCATTGTAATATTTAACTTAACCATTTTAACATGGAGAGATTTCTGCATGGACGTTTCTTAAACTGATTTTTGATTTGTTTTGCCTTTCTAGTGCCTGACCAAATGAAAGGCGTGTGCAACTGCGCTTCCTTGGTTGTAGGCCGCGATGAAGGTAAAAACATTTACTATGTGTACTCAAAATTTCACAATGTGAACAAAGCTTAGTTATGATATAAATAGCTATCAATTCAATGGTCAGTATAATGTGCGAAAAAAGAGCTATCTCCTAATTTTCACCTTGTGATCAAGTTAAGTGTACATGCATGTGCACGTGGGAATTATGATGAATATCAATCCCTAGAAAAATGTGCGAAAACAGTGAGAGCTACCACAAAATGAAATGTTAAAATATTTACACACTTATTCAAGAAATCTTGAGAGTTAATGAATTAGGATATATATAATTACAAAGTTATACATGAATATAAACAAATATGATTAATAAAATAAAAGAAAGATAGGGGGAGGATGGGTAAACAAAGAAATGAGAGTTGATGAGAGTTTTCCAGTCATCTACTCGTCTCTCATGAAAGTCTCGTTTGAAGTTGTCAAACATTAACTCACTCTCAGCTCAATTGCAACGAATGATCTATAGTATTTTGTGGAGAAACCTAGTGCGCGTGCAGCGAAAAAACCCACTTTTGTTTCTTTAAGTGCATTCGCTTTGTCTTACCCCCTCCCCCATTTTTTCCTGTAGAGTTCGAAGCCGAGAAACGCTGGTTCATTAGTGACCCAGTGGAGAAATTGAAAAGCGCCGTCAAAAAAATCTGCGATGGTCGTAAGTACAGCTGTCATTTTGCTATTGCTGAGGCATCATATATAAAATCTCCTTTATTCTTGTTCGTATAAAGAACCAGTTTGCTTATATGTTCAAATTTATATTTTTTGAAGGATTTGCGAATGCTTTAAAGGCACCATGTAACTGTATCCGCCTTTTTATTTAAGAGAAGGTAAGGGAAACATGCTGATTTTATAACTGCACGCAAAGACTAGACCAAACTATAATCTTTTCCCGATGCGAATCATCATGGGACCGTTTCTGCTTCTCATGTTTAGTGTAGGTTCATTTCACCGTGTTCATACGGGTCTCCAGGACCCTGCGTCGCTGGGAGGGGTGGTGATGTTGGGGATGTGACACCCCCTGAAAACATCTCGTCGGCAAAACGAAAGGATTTGTCTGCAAATTGTTTTCGTAGTCGGCAAAACATGAATTGGATACGATACGATTGAAGTGGAAACTGGCTTTAGCCTCTTCGCGACAGCCCTGTAAGGGTGTCTCGATTAATCGACAATAAGGATGGAGGAGGTACAATGGGTTGACTAAGGATTTCGGTAATCATTATGAGCCAGATGGTTATTGATTGATTAGTTATGTGCATCTTAACCAGTTACCGATTCCATCCCTATCGGCGACAATGGGCAAACTTATAGTTAAGAATAATAACTGTAATAATCATTGTATAGCCCTATATTGTTATGTGAATGAAATCGTATTCAGCAATGTTAGTAAAAACAAAAACTATTTTCTATAGGACATGGGTTGATGAACACATACGAGTTAAAAGCAAAAGATGAAATTAGTTGATTTAGAACATGTAATGTTAGAAAATGAATGAATAAAAGTATCATACACTTCATGCAGAAGGTCTAATAATTTGTCCACACACATGTCAATCACTATCATACATCTATAATGTCTCCTGGTAAAGGGGTATATTATGTATATACTTGTATTTTGTCATTTATGACATTATGTACTCTTGGCGTTATAAACTGAATTAGAAAAGTGATAAATTTTTAATTATTTGTGAGAAATCTTCATGTATGTATACTGAATAGCCAATAGAGCATGAAAAAAGACAACCTCATAAACAGGATATTTTCTCTCACACTTGGAAAAAAAATTCTTGATTTGCGATGCTATTCTCTTTATCACATTTCTTGATGTACTATTTAAAACATGAGCAGCAGTGTTTTATCAGATATAAAGATACGAGGGGAAGCCGAGTATCTTTATGTCTGATAAAACACGCACTCATGCATGCGAATGTTTTAAATTGCTTCAAAAACGATCGATCTAGTAAGTTCATTGGCGAAGTAATTTTCAAAAAATACGTTGTGTAAGTCGAGAAAATACATCAAAGTTAAAGTTTATGTAAATCATATGATTTTTCTTTGTGTTTTCCTCATGAATTATTAATGCTTTTTTAACTTGCATTTTGACACCTTGATCTCATGCAGGTATAATATTGAAAGAAGGTTTTATTCATTTTCTTCGTTAAGTAATTATTTTGGGGTTTTCTGATTATACAATTATTGGACTTGGTCAGTGGCGGCGCCAGGCTTCCAAATTTGGGGGGGCATTTGAGGGCAAACTCAAATTTTTGGGGGGCAAGATAGAATTTTTAAAAAGGTCGCCCCCCCAGGAAATTCCCCCCCCCCTCAAAACGTGGCGATATTCCTAGGAATATCTCCCCCGGGGGGCGAATATCCTAGGAATATCGCCTCCCAAGGGGGTGCGGCGAATACCCTA